ACACTGTAAACACACACGACACACTGTACACACACCACACACTGTAAACACACACGACACACTGTACACACACCACACACTGTAAACACACACCACACACTGTAAACACACACGACACACTGTAAACACACACCACACACTGTAAACACACACGACACACTGTAAACACACACGACACACTGTAAACACACACCACACACTGTAAACACACACCACACACTGTAAACACACACACGACACACTGTAAACACACACGACACACTGTAAACACACACCACACACTGTAAACACACACGACACACTGTACACACACCACACACTGTACACACACACCACACACTGTAAACACACACGACACACTGTACACACACCACACACTGTAAACACACACGACACACTGTACACACACCACACACTGTAAACACACACGACACACTGTAAACACACACGACACACTGTAAACACACACGACACACTGTAAACACAAACTGACTATTGACAATTAATAATAAATAAACACTAATCCAAATATTTTTACATTTATTTATCCAATTTAATATACTGATATATTTATATTTCATATAATATTCTATTTATTAATTATAAACTATATCATATCATTCGATATATTTTAATATTTATAAACCGTATTGACGAATTTCTGTCAACAGATGGTGAATATTTGCTTCATCTATATTTTTATTTTCACTATTATTGCTGATCGTATGGTTCCCTAAATATGAATTTTACACACAGTTTTAATTAGGTTTAGAGAAGCAAAGCAGGAACTGTGCGCAGTGTGTGGCGTCTGACGTCAGTGTGTGTGTTTTCTCCCTCGTGACTGAATGTCGAGCTCTACAAACGTTACAACTGTGTTGCCGCTCCACGTCTGGCACAACAAAACTCCCACCCAATCAGAGCACAGTATAAATGTGCTTTCTGCAGAACGAGCGTCTCCGGCTCTTGGATCTTGATGGAGGAGAATAAATCTCCATACATTTCCATGCAGAAGACTGGAGGTCCAATCAAAATAATCAGTTTCTGAATATGCACAGCAGCTTCATGAAAAATTGAATTGAATCTGGGTCCTATGACAGAACCTGCTGGAGTTCTTCCACGATAATTGAACAGTCTTTCATTTCTCAGTTTGAAACAGCGGCACGTTTACTGCGCCGCCGGCCTCATGTTTGCGGCTTCATTTTCTCCAAGAGAATTTGAGTGGAAAGCAACCGAATGGAAAAAGAAAAGAAGACTCTCTGTCTCCACGAGTAAAGACTTCCTCGGTCACACGGAGGCCTTGTCCACACTAATATACGGTTTTGCTTTGAAAACGCATCTTTTTCTCTCCATTTTGTCCGTCTGTCCTTCACACGGAGACGGCGTTTTTATAAATGAAAGCATCTGGAGGCCCGTTTCAATAACTAATATGCGGCCCTACCCACGTAAAACATAAACATAATAGAGAAGAAAAAGCTAGGATTCCTGCACTGCAAAATAAAATGCTTTTCTTACTCAGTATTTTTGTCTTGTTTCCAGTCCAAATATCAAAAAATTCTTACAGTTTTTTACGATTGCTATGACAGATTTTTCAATACTTTTAACAATTTTCCAAAACTCTTAACACAGTTATCACTACATCCGTCTGTGTAAGCTATACTATTAAAGGGATACTCCACTTTTTTTGGAAATAGGCTCATTTTACAACTCCCCCAGAGTTAAACTGTTGAGTTTTACCGTTTTTGAATCCATTCAGCCGATCTCCGGTTCTGGCGGTACCACTTTTAGCATAGCTTAGCATACATCATTGGAGTGGACAAGACCATTAGCATTTCTCAAAAAAAAATGACCAAAGAGTTTCGATATTTTTCCTATTTAAAACTTGACTCTTCTGTAGTTACATCGTGCACTAAGACCGATGGAAAATGTAAAGTTGCGATTTTCTAGGCTGATATGGCTAGGAACTATACTCTCATTCCTGCGTAATAATCAAGAAACTTCACTGCCGTACCATGAGTGCAGCAGGCGTAATGATATGACGCAGCGCCTGAAAATAGTTCCGTTGTGTTGACGGAAGGTGGCCTATTTTCAGGCGCTGCGTCATATCATTACGCCTGCTGCACTCATGGTACGGCAGTGAAGTTTCTTGATTATTACGCAGGAATGAGAGTATAGTTCCTAGCCATATCAGCCTAGAAAATCGCAACTTTACATTTTCCGTCGGTCTTAGTGCACGATGTAACTACAGAAGAGTCAAGTTTTAAATAGGAAAAATATCGAAACTCTTTGGTCATTTTTTTTTGAGAAATGCTAATGGTCTTGTCCACTCCAATGATGTATGCTAAGCTATGCTAAAAGTGGTACCGCCAGAACCGGAGATCGGCTGAATGGATTCAAAAACGGTAAAACTCAACAGTTTAACTCTGGGGGAGTTGTAAAATGAGCCTATTTCCAAAAAAAGTGGAGTATCCCTTTAACGCATTTCTTGTTGCTTTAACACAAAATGCATACAATTAACACAAATTTAAAATGCTTGAACTTCTTTTACACACAAGCTCAAACAAGACCAAAACAATGGATTTGTACTGCCAAATTTACCAGTGCTTTAACACTGTATGTCAGAACAGATAACACCACCATGTTCTAAACCTAACCTTACAGGCTAAAGTCAAGGTAAACAGCTGTTTATATTGTGAATTGAAACACAAATATATCCCCTGTATTTTATTCTATTGTTACAGCTGATTGAATTATGCAAATATAAAAATCACAGCTGATTTCTAGGAAACACACTCAGGGGTTGAGGTTCTTTCAATTGCATGACCATATGGTATACAGTAAAAGAGGACCTTTTTGGCGGATCTTTTGTGGAAAGAGAACAATATAGAGCAAAAAAAAAAAAACTAACAAAAAAAAAATGTCTGCACTAGGTAGAGGATGATGTGTACCAGGACAAGGGAGAGGAGTTAGAATGAGTGGTGGTGCTCAAAGAAGAGAGAGAGCTAGGGTAATGAAATAAGACCTGCACTTGTGCCAGAGGTAGAAAGGGGACAGGTGAGAGACCACTTGCCAATATACGTGATCACATGGGACAATTTTGCTTTTTTTTAAAACAAACAGCTCAAACATCCCCTCAACTTGAATTATTTAACAAAAGCAAAGAAGAAAACCTAACGGCAAAAAAGGTAAAGATATAAACACATAAACTACCGATGTTATACTTCAGATCGCTTAAGTGGCTTCGTGGGGGTGGTAAACGTCGCCATGGTAACCGCGAGTTCAACCAATCAGAGGCGTCAGTGTTTTGCTTAGAATTGTGGGTAGTGTAGTATTTCTCCAGAAGGTTGATTTCGTACCTTGTGGCTTTTATAGGAGTAGAAACTTTCGTTTCACAACCTCGTAGCTCGTGGTCAATCGACCTCGGATGGTTTAGACATTATGGCTGAAAATCAATATCCTACGGAGAAAATGAATGGGATTTTGCTGGTCTCTTGGAGGGCGGGGCCTGTTTCAATTGAAACGGGTGAAACACAGGTAAGGCCGCGTCTGACCGGAGGTATTTCAAAACGATGATGTAAGTTTAGTCATGTGACGCATATTGTACCAATAGATATTCATGTTTATGGGCGCTTTGCCTGTTCCGAACCCGAGTTCGATTGCCCTTTTTACGCGGACTCGAGTACGGTTCGCGGGTGCGCACTAGAGGGTGACACGGGAGTGGATTTTCAAACCTCTCCCGTCCCACTCCCACAAAAAAAATCCTGTCCCGTCCCAATCCCAGAAGAATGACTCCTATTCCCTCCCACTCCCGTGTGGTGTTTTTTTGACCGGAATCTGTCAGTTACAGTAAAAAAACTGGGTAACACTTTACTTGAAGAGGTGTGCATAAGACTGACATGACACCTTCATAACCATGACATGGCATAAGTCATGAATATGAAGTAGGGTTTATGCATGTTTATGACAACTGTCATTAAGTGTCTTTCGCTCAATAATGACATTTTGAATGCAAATATGACATTGTTTAAGATGTCTTTGTTATGACACCTTGACATAAACCATAACATCATAACCTGTCAGTGTCTTTGTCATGACAACTTGACATTAAATTAAGTTAAACTGTCATGTGGTTGGTTTTGACATTGGCTGTCATAAGGCCATTATAACTGTGTCATGAATATTTTTCGTGACCTCAACTACAGTGGTACAAATTGAATTTGTCATTAAACAGTTATAATGCCCTCATGACAGCCAATGTCAAAACCAACCACCTGACAGTTTAATGTAATGTTAACCCATAAAGCTAAGTGCTTTCTTAAGTTTGATAATTAATCTGCTATGTCATGTTTATGACAGGTTGTGTTGTCTTAGTAATGATGTATTGGTTTATGTCAAGGTGTCATAACAAAGACATTTCAAACAATGTCATATTTGCATTAAAAATGTCATAATTGAGCGAATGACACTTAATGTCATAAACATGCATAAAACTTCCTTCATATTCATAACATGTGTCATGTCATGATTATGAAGGTGTCATGTCAGTCTTATGCACACCCCTTCAAGTAAAGTGTTACCAAAAACTGTAAAACTGGGTTGTTTGGATGACTCGCGCACACGCAAGGTCTCTCGCTCGCTTTCCCTCTCTGCTGCCGTGTGTGTGTGCGCGCGCTCGGCGGTTTGAAGCACAATCTCTGTATTTGCTGTCCTGCGGTGTAACATGAGAGCAGTTTTAGCGTTTTACACCAAATATATAATGGAGAGTGAGTGCGACCCGGACGCGTCAGTGAATGCTGAGATAAAATGATCCTGTCAGAAGAATTGTGCGATAACTTAATTATTTATTTTTCCGTCTCTATCATTCAAAAGTTTCTCAAAAGGACGGAGAGCGTTATTAAACGAAAACGCCGTTTTCAAACGTATCCGGATTAATGTAGACGTAGCCTGAGACAACACAACAAAAAACACTAATCAATGAAGTCTGAAGATGAATATTTGCTCACCGAACACTTTGAGGATCAGCTGACTCTCCGAGCTCCCGGCCTTGTTCGTGGCGCGACAGATGTACGGTCCTCCGTCCCCTTGACCGATGTTTTTAACGGTCAGCGTGCTTTTGCCCCCATCCAGAGTGTTCAACACATACTGCTCCGAACGCTCGATCACGTGACCCTTCCTGAGGAGAGGAAACATCGGTTGATGAGATGATTAACTGTAGCTGAAATGACAACAGATATTAAAGAGGACCTTTAATGCCCTTTTACAGAGTCTTGATGTAGTTTTTGGTCTCTACTAGAACTTGAATGTTGATTATTTCCTCATATTCTCCATTGTTGCGGCTCCTCTCTTCCCAGTCTGTCAGTAACGCTCTGTTTACTTCCTGTCTCTATGAAGCCCCTCCTTCTGAAAAGCACACTGTGCTCTGATTGGTCGGCTGGATCAGTGTGTTGTGATTGGTCGAGCGCTTCGAGTGTGTTTGGGAAATGCCCCGCCCCTTTCCATAACCGCCAGTTTAACACACTACTAACTAACTCAACCAGGCCCCGCCCCTTTATTCTGCGTATTAATTATTATAATGAGGATTATTGTGACGTGTTCGTTCACGGAAGAAACTCAAGACTACAATGGAGGCGTTTCAGGAGTTCAGAATATAGAGATGTTATTCATATAGAGAATAACATTACACACTAAACACAGAAGATAAAAGCATAAAAAATCCTCTTTAAATTGATTTAACAGTCTATAAAACAACATTTTCTCACTTACATCTCATTTGTGTAAATTAATTTGTAGAAAAGTAATGTCCATGACAACATGACTGCATTAAGCATTAAACAAACAACTTATATCTTAATGTGTGTAATTTTATAACATATTTATTTTATTTCAGCATCATTACTCCAGTCTTCAGTGTCACATGATCCTTCAGAAATCACTCTAATATGATGATTTGATGCTTAAGAAACATTTATGATTATTATCAGTGTTGAAAACAGTTTAATATTTTTGTGGAAACCGTGATGCATGTTATGTTTCAGGATTCTTTGATGAATAGAAAGCATTGAAATAGAAATGTTTTATATGTTTAATGCACTCTAGCTGAATAAAATAATTAATTAAAAAAAGTTCTAGTTCTCTAGCTACATCTTTGTTTGTTAGTTAAACTAAGACCCACAGAAGAGTTTCTGAGTTTAAGCTACAGAAAGTACAGAGACAAAAGAAAAGTAACTATAGTAATGAAGATTCATGTAACGAACAATTCAATCTCAATAACAAGGACACAATTAAGGGAAGTGGATGCAGGGCGATCAGGCAAAACAAAGGGAACACGCAATTAGATTTAACAAGCTAACCGAAGCAGCCGGGAACACGAGTCTGGACTCAAACACAACCCGAGCCGAAAATTATGATTCTGTCAACATTTACAGAGTCGTTATTCAGTGAAAATGAAAGAGAACATCTGCTAAACATCTCCTTATGTGATTCACAGAGGAAGAGGCCATGAATCGAATCAGCAAAATGATGACAGTACGTTAATTTCTGGCTCAACTGTGCCTTTAAATAGGATGAGGAACAGATGCAAACTATAACTAATTAACAGCTGCAAATAATGATGATAATTATAACAGTGTGCTAACATTAACCTCACAAATCTATCTGATTGTAAATGTTATATTTTCCGTCATTATTACTGGTATGCTGAAGTGCATATTTATTTGAAAATTATATTTGGTAACACTTTACTTGAAGGGGTGTGCATAAGACTGACATGACACCTTCATAATCATGAATATGCAGGAGTTTATGCATGTTTATGACAACTGTCATTAAGTGTCATTCGCTCAATTATGACATTTTGAATGCAAATATGACATTTTTTGAGATGTTTTTTATATAACAACTTGACATAAACCAATACATCATAACCTGTCAGTGTCTTTGTCACAACTTGACATTACCAAGGCAACATACATTGTCATAAATATGTCATAAAGATGACATAGCAGATTAATTATCAAACTTAAGATAGCACTTAGCTTTATGGGTTAACATTACATTAAACTGTCATGTGGTTGGTTTTGACATTGGCTGTCATGAGGCATTATAACTGTGTCATGAATATTTTTCTTGACCTCGACTACAGTGGTACACATTTAATTTGTCATTAAAATGTTATAATGGCCTCATGACAGCCAATGTCAAAACCAACCACATGACAGTTTAATGTAATGTTAACCCATAAAGCTAAGTGCTTTCTTAAGTTTGATAAATAATCTGCTATGTCATGTTTATGACATATTTATGACAGGTTGTGTTGTCTTGGTAATGTCAAGTTGTCATAACAAAGACATCTCAAACAATGTCATATTTGAGCGAAAGACACTTAATGACAGTTGTCATAAACATGCATAAAACCTCCTTCATATTCATGACATGTGTCATGTCATGATTATGAAAGTGTCATGTCAGTCTTATGCACACCCCTTCAAGTAAAGTGTTAACCTTATATTTTTTAACTCAATCAAATGATTTTATGTTTATTGCACTGAATTCTATAGAACTGAATTAGAATATTACTCATAAATGCTTATTAATCTAATTAAAAATAATCAATTGAGACCTGGATCAGGTGTCTTAAAAAGATAGCGATCATTCTGTCATCATTTAATAAATCCAATGTCGTTCCAACACCGTTTGACTTTCTTTCTTCCATGGAACACAAACTATAATATACTATAATATATAGAAATAATATTTTTAAGAACAAACAGTTTTAGACCAAATTGATGTCCATTGTATCAACAAAAATTCTATCCAACGGAAGAGAGAAAATCATACAAATATGCCTTGAAATAGGATGCAGAACAGATGCAAACAATAACTAATTAACAGCTGAAAAGAATGATGATAATTAACTAAAGCAGGTGTGCAGTGCTAACTATAACATATAAAGCACACTTTCTGCTCTGGTATGTTTACATTTTATTTATTTTTATTTATTTAGAATAAAAAGATTATTCTATAGAACTGAATTAGATTTTTTTTCTTCCCTAATGCTTATTAATCAAATTAATAATAATGAACTGAAACCTGCAGGATCATGCCTCTCCTGTCTGTGCAATCGAACGGCATTTAAAAACCTCACATTAATATTCATTTGTGAATCTACAGTGTTTTTTATATGTGAACTCCTATGACATCATCTGCACTTTAAGTGGCTGTAATTTTAAAGTTGAATTGAATTAAAGAGAACTTTGTTCTTCTGCGGTAAAAGTACCTCTGATTTGATGCACATTTACGAAACCATCGTGCCAATCCTTAATGGGTTTAAATCGGTGGAAACTATAATTGTGCTGCACTTTGCGCTTGTAATATTCAGACTGATGGACCTTCACACTTCTCTGGACCTTCTCATCAGTTCCAGCCATGAGAAAAACTAATCAAACCTGAGAGATACAGCAATGACACTATATGGAGAACAGATGTTGTCCAGCTTCTCAGATGTTTCTCACTCTAGAACTCCAGAAAGATCTCAACAACGTCTCAAACTGTGCTCATATTGATGAAACATTTTCAAAAGGCACGCTGAATTTCTCCCTCACACAATGCAAAGATTTCAGAGAAAGTCCCGAGTTTGAGTGATTCTGGCCCTCACCTCAGTTATCATGCAAGGCTTTGAACATCTGATCAAAGCACAGATCAGCTCTACACTTCTGACGCCACAGACACGCTGACGATTTGCATACAGAGAGATATATGAATCGAGGACACTGTGTCCTATATACTACAGTAGCAATGATGCCCAGCGCCCTCCACACTCACTCGTTTGCTCGCTCGCTCACTCACTCACTCACACACACACACACACACTCACTCACTCACTCACTCACTGACTCACTCACTCAAACGCTCACTCGCTCGCTCGCTCGCTCGCTCACTCACTCACTCACTCACTCACTCACTCACTCACTCACACACTCACTCACTCACTCACTCACTCACTCACTCACTCACTCACACACTCACTCACTCACTCACTCACTCACTCACTCACTCACTCACTCACTCACACACTCACTCACACACTCACTCACTCACTCACTCACACACTCACTCACTCACTCACTCACTCACTCACTCACTCACTCACTCACTCACACACTCACTCACACACTCACTCACTCACACTCACTCACTCACTCACTCACTCACTCACTCACTCACTCACTCACTCACTCACTCACTCACTCACTCACTCACTCACTCACTCACTCACTCACTCACTCACTCACTCACTCACGCACGCACGCACGCTCACTCACACACTCACTCACACACTCACTCACACACTCACTCACTCACTCACTCACTCACTCACTCACTCACACACTCACTCACACACTCACTCACACACTCACTCACTCACACACTCACTCACTCACTCACTCACTCACTCACTCACACACTCACTCACACACTCACTCACACACTCACTCACTCACTCACTCACACACTCACTCACACACTCACTCACTCACTCACTCACTCACTCACTCACTCACTCACTCACTCACTCACTCACGCACGCACGCACGCACGCTCGCTCGCTCGCTCGCTCACTCACTCACTCACTCACTCACTCACTCACTCACTCACTCACTCACTCACTCACTCACTCACTCACACACTCACTCACTCACTCACTCACTCACTCACTCACTCACTCACTCACTCACTCACTCACTCACACACACACACATCCATTCCCAACCGCTGGATCTTTAAGCTCTGTCTCTAAGCTTAAGGAATAAAACATGTTCTAAGAACATTTTGCTAATGATCCAATTAAGCTAGGAAAAGGTCACTTCTGTCCGGTTTTTGAAAGTTTTTCTTGGTTATGCGAACATTCCATTTTGTCATTCTGCAGAATAGATAACTCTGACCGAACATTCTATTAAAGGGATAGTTCACTCAATTAAGTTATTTTTTACCCACCCTGGCGTTGTTCATTTTCAGTCCACAAAAAAATAAATGAAAAATGTCCCGCTCGCGCTCATACATATAATCTTGGTGAAATGGCTTTTTTTAAATGACGCAAAAGTATCACAGATCTCATGCGATACGTGTCGTATATTCCACACGGCTATATGATAGGGTTTGGTGAAAAACAAACTGAAATTCCATATATTATTTGACCAAAAAATAATAATTTGAAGACTCGCACAGAAAAACACACAAGTTGTGAGAAAATAAGATTAATAAAAAGGAAATTCCCAAAAAAGGTCTCTCACTGAGTTTAACCCATTTGTGCCGGATGCTGCGTGCCGAAACCTTATATCTACCGCCGGTTACTGCGTTGCGCAACTCTGAACCTCCTGCCGGCTGCTGCGTGGCGCAGCATTTTGTATTCGTCATCCTTTTCATGACGCTTGCAGCATAGAACGCACTGTCATTGGTTCAAATACACATGAGGTGGGTCTTGTTGATTTTTTAAAGACCACGTGACCACCCAAATGTACTGTAGTTCGCTAAAAATCACGTCAATCAATCAGCTATACACGTGCATTTGTTTGGGATTTTTTTTGGAGACGCGAGCGAGAAAATGGCAACGACAGAGGCGTGTGCAAAGGCAAGAATACCGAAGGCAAGACACAGCCCGACAAATTAAGCGTCTGGGACTTACTTTCACTTTGATTTGCGATAGTTTGCAGCGCGTTGGCTTGATGAATAGATGCTCAGCTGCTCATCTGAGGTGATGCGTCGTGTCGCAGTAGCGTCGTCATATCTGACTATAACATGACATATAGCCTATAACACGCTCTCACACGTTTATCTTTTAGCATTTTTGGGAGGAGTAAATTTTACTTATGTGGTTTCAACAACCAGATGCATTTACACTTGTCCAGTTTCGTCTGGAATGCGGCCCAGACCTCCTCCTGAAGTGGTTTGAGCGATTGGATTCAAATCCATCTCGGAGGGCATTTACACCTGGTCTTTTCACGATCGGATAGCTATCCGATCACAGAAAACGCGTGAAGTGGCCAGGTGTAAACAGCCCCACACACACCGCGCGCACCGAACAGACGCGCGGTCACCAACTCGAAGTGGAACCCTGTCTCCAAAACGGAGATGAAGACATTTGTCGGGCTGTGTCTTGCCTTCGGTATTTTGAAGCTGCCAGCACGCAGGGATTTCTGGAGGCCATGGCAAGGGACCGCTTCGACATGATCTGGAGGTAATTATTTGTGTTTTGTTTTTATAATGAATAACTAGCATAATAAATTGTAATATAATTATGTGATGATGGTTGATAATGATAATACTAAATACAATAATGTTAATATAAATACAATACTGGCATAATGAATAAATAGCATAATAAATAGTAATATAATTATGGCATAATGAATAAATATAAATACTATAAATATACATAAATAACATAATACATATGAATAAATAAATACAATGATGGCAATAAATGTTATGTTAGAAATTATTTTTATCATATGCATTTTCAGATATCTCCAAGATAACATCGATGCATGAGCCAGAGATGTGAGCCATGGAGCTCAGAGACTGTTCCCAGTTCCACCTCAGGACTTTCCCCACCTCTCTCTCATAACAAGAATCCTTGTTCAGTGTGTTGGCATGTTTAAAATGTTATTTGTTTTATTTTATATAATTGATTTATATTTTTTTTCTTCCCCATATGATTTTGAGAATTTTTAGAAAAATGTGTTGTTATGTTAGTGCTAAGGGAGCATGTCTTAATAAAACCTGTGATTCTTACCTTTAAAATGTATTTTATTTCATGTTTCTAAGTACTACAGAGGCTGAGATATTAAGGTTTTGGTAGACGTTGACAATTCGAAGTATTTTTTCAGAAAACCCTCAGGAGATTAGGATATTTATCCTAGAATAACATAGGTTTTTATAGGCGTTTTTAGCAGGCGTTTTAGGAGTAAATGGGTTAATAGGCCTATGTCACAAAAAAATTGAAGGTCTTTTAGTAGGGATACGGCTCTTCCGGTTAGCTTTTTACAATGGCGGAGTCCGATAGATACCGCTGGACCAAACCCTAACCCTAACCCTAGCCCTAACCCTGACCAAATCTCTCCGCAACCTGCCTGAAGTCACATATGACGATGTGGTTCTGATGGTAAATGAAAACTCTCAAGTGGAAACGTCAAAACTGAGGAAAGGGTACACTACAACAACAGCTGCGGGTGTAGCCTGCCATTGTTGTTATAGCTCTAGCTGTTCGCCAGTAAGGTAAACGTTTCTATGGTAACAGCGAGTTGGACCAATCAGCAGACATTGCTGCTACGCTTAGGATTGTGGGTAGTGTAGTTTTTTTTGCATAAGATCGCGGATAAAACATGTTTTTCTTAAAGGGGTCATGAACTGGCTTTTAAAAAAAATATATTGTTGTCTGAGGTCAACTTATGACCTTCGCTTGGTTTTTACATTCAAAAACATCAAAATGAACGCCCACTGCTGTGAGTGGATAACAGTTTTGCATATTATAATGAGTTTCGTGTAATGCGCGAATCGGTGGGCGGGGCTAAACCGGCCGTGTTGAAGTAGGCGTTGATCTTCTTCTGCGGGGGTGGTGTTTTATCCTCTTTGTCGTCATAGTTCCCCACTTTGAAAACCGAGTCGTTTGCTGAGCCTGGTGTCAATAAAAGCTTTTATTGGACTAACAAGGACGTTTTCAGTTCTGAAACTTACAGGATATTCTTATAATATGATGACCTCTTAGATGTCAAAAGCTCAAGGAAAATTTGATTTCTCAGTTCATCACCCCTTTAAAACAAGGTTGATTTCAAGCGAACTTATAGCTTCTACGACAACATCATAGCTCGTGGTCAGTCTACCTCGGATGGTTTAGACATTATGGCTGATAATCTAAATCCTTATCGAGAAATACTGTTGACCGGAAGTTTTGAATCCCAACTCCGCGTTCCGGAAGCAGGAAGTGTGACATAGGCCTATATCTCCGGACAAGACCTCAGTCATGACAGTCGGATTGACAAATGTGAACACGATATCTTCTTGTTATGACAAACATAACGGATATATTCACCCCAGAGAATGATTGTATTTCAAGTTCAGAAAAAAAACAAGGGTATAGAGCATTAGTACAACACCAGGGTGAGTAAATAACGACAATTTTGATCTTTTGAGTGAACTACCCCTTTAATGTTAGCGGAAGAATGTTTGTTCATAGCTTTGCTAGAACAATCAGCCAAAGCTGGGCACCAACATTCATAGTTTCTCTTGACAAACGTTACTGTTACCCACCAGTACCAGGTCACCTGAGGGTCGGGGGAGCCGGAGGTGATGCAGGTGAACGTCACCGACTCCTGGTAGTCTGCCGTGGCGTTGAAGGACTGCTGTGGCACGGACAGAACCGGAGGAACTGGAACGACACCAGACACACAGTTAATCATGCATGTTCAATACAGTTTCTCTCTGAATGCAGGTAAAGTCCGATGCTTGCGTTTGCCATGTTTGGATTAGACTAACAATTACCCGACATATGTGTCTCCTGTCTGTAATTAAACCAAACGGCAACCATCCGGTCACAATCCAACACTGAAGTGAGTTAAACTGCAGTTCATCAACTGGCCACTAGAGACTGGCTGCAGAGGAGAGTCAATCCCATAGACCCCCATGTTAAAATCCCCAACTTTACAGCAGAAAAAATAATGTTTACAGCCTGCTGCAAAAAGTGGTTTTGGTCTATATCGCTAATTTTGCCCTTCATGACGACTGTGAGAGATGTGAATTTTTTTTTAAACTCATCCGTTTAAATAATATTAAGGCTTAAAGTTGTGCATAATTAAGGGCGTGGCCACTTGAGTGACAGGTGGATTGCCGCTGATGTCACTACTAGCCGTTTGTCTGCTGTGTGTTAGCGTCACGTCACCTCAGCTAATCCGCCTTTTTGCACTCTTTCGTTTATCCGGGAGTGACGCGCGGCCAAGATGGCGACGGCCGGCTCCGCCCACTTTGAGTTTCAAAAATGCTCTTCAGAAACACTACGAGTGACGTCACGCACATGTTTTTTTACAGTCTATGAATGAAACTAATTTAACTATCAAACCACGTCAGCCGTTTGTTTACACTCTCTCTTTAATTTGATTCCCCTTAAATTTCCCACAGTAATGTCCTTATTTCAAAACATCTGTTTCATGTCAGTCTGATGGGCTGAATCGATCTGAAAAGATGATTGAAGAGAATAAAACAGACCTCGCCGAGCACAATCATTATTCGCCGCTCTGTGATTTGCTCCCTGTTAGATTTCGCCCGAGTTCAAAGAGGTTGAAATGACGAGTTTTTTTGGGTGATGTGTATCTGTGAAGGACATCTCGGTGACATTTCCTTTTAAAAGATCAAGCAGACGCGGAGAGAAGTTGCCGATTCGACCCCTGTCTGCGCTCAAACGGCTCCTCTGATGATGAAAGTCGGGGTTAAGGGCTCGGAAAGAGCACGCTAGCGCATGTCTGCATGCTAATCATCAGCGTAAACGGATTCCACATACACAACTGTACAGGATAATTAGAAGAAACCGAGACACAACAAACAAGGAACCAGAACAAAGACAAAGCACTTGCTCAATTGTGTGAATAATCTGCTAAAAACACAATGTCAGAATGTCACAAATGCTGGTTTACGCTAGTTACGAGCTCATGCTGGTCAACCAGTTCGACCTAGAGAAGTCTTGCTGGTTCAGCTAACTGGTGGAGACACAAGCACAACATTATCAAAAAACACCACATATGACAGCTGGCATGAGGCAAGATGGTGGACTAACAACCGACTTTTTTAACTAACCCTGTTTGTGCCCTAAAAATGCTCTGAGAAGTTGCATCTCTGAATTCTTACTGTAAATATGACGTGTATATACATCCACACTGCAAAAATTAGTAAATCTAAGAGAGTAAGAGAGAAAATTGGTCTTCTTGTGAATTTTAAGTCATTTTAAGGTAGTTTTTTACCAAAAACAAGTGACAGCTATAAGGTGCATTAATGTTTTTGTGCATGAATTTTAATAAGAAAGATCAAATATGATTGTTTTTGTTACACTGAAGAAAGAAAAAATCCCTTCTTGAAACAAGCAAGATGCACTTAAATTTAAGTAAAGCGTACTAAAATTATTAATTTATTGGGTTGTTTTAAGAATTTCATCTATTTTCAGGTTATTGTGCATCTTTTTTTTTTTTTTAAATAAGCTGTTTAAGGTTAAGGTTTAATATTCTGAAAATGTAAGGTTAAATATTCTATTTTTAATGCAGTCTTACAAAAATTACTATTATTTATCATTTTAGTCTAGTTTTAAGATCCAATAGCATTTATTAGTGACTAGATATTTATGCTATTTTCAAAAATTCTTATCAAGTCAGTTTTTTTGCATGATTTTTCAGTGCATCTTGCTTGTTTCAAGAAGGCCATTTCAGTACTGTATTTCCGTCTTCAACAAAACATATTGGTTTAATAACACAACCACCAATCATATTTCCCTCAAAGAGTCTTCAATCATCCAAACTAGCCTCAAACAGATGGTGCGCATATATGCAAAACGCCCGTGTTAATTCAATAAGGAAGGTCAAAGCAGAAAGGGGCTTTTCATTATGACAGCGGATGGTGTTTCAACACGCCGTTGCGATCCACTGCAGCTCCAGCCAAGGCTGCGAATAAATCTACGGGAAAAAATTCTGGATTCAATCTCTGTTCTTGGATACGAGACTCAGGCGTTGACGCTTTCTAGTCAGCCTTTGCTAAGTGATTTAAGCAGCAGGTTGTTCTGTTTTCGTGGCAGACGGCGCTTGCCATGTCTTCGGGATAATAGGATGCGCCTCATTGAGCGAGCTTATTGGATCTTCCTGAGAGCTATAAGTGGTGATGCTAAATTGAATGCAATATGCTTCTTTTTTTTTTTCTTTGCATGCTATTACATCAGTTTAAAGAAGTATGAGTTGTGCAAATACTATTGTGTCCGTTCAGGCAGAGCTCAGCGCTATCAAATCCTGATGATGGCTCATTTCGCGGAACAAGGTAAATGAATGAGTTCAAAAGACAGGCGGTGTTTCGTGAAGCGCTCGCCAAGATAAGGTCGTCGTTTGCTTGTGACTCACGGAAGCTTGAAGAGGGTGTTAATTGAAAGATTTAGTCTCAAATCTAGTCAGCAGAAAATTGAGTGTAAAAACGCTGAGATGATAAACTATGTGTGGATTTGTAAAGTGAAACGCCCATTTTAGTTTGAATGTGAAAAGACCAGCATTACGGTCTTAACTGGTCTCGTCAGACTGGTCATAGACATACCTTTACCAGCAAAACCTGTCATCTAGCATGGCCTGATAAAGCTGGTTGACCAAAGAAGTCTTGCTAAGCTAGTTTAGCAGTCTAAAAGCAACACACCACCATCTAAAACACAATAACAAATGACCAAATGTTTCATTTCCCATCAAAACATTCATAGATGTGTACATTCAGTACATGTAATGTTAGCCAAGGACACATTTTTGCAAAAAAACAGCTCTTTTAACAGTACAAAAAAAGAGTGATTGTGTTAATGGTCTTTCTTTATAATAGACGCTGATGAGGCAAGACATAACATAAAATTCAACAAAGTATATCAACAAAACTTAAGCATCATATGGGTTACCACACACAAGTGTGACAGAATCACGTACTACCTTAATGTCCACTCTCAAAAATAACAGCAAAAAATGTTTGTTTTTGTAAGTGACGCCATTGAAGAACCATTTTTGGTTCCCTAAAGAACCTTTTGGTAAAAAGTTCTTAAAATACATATTTTTTTCTTTAATGTGAAAAACATTTTATAATCCTATATAAAATTATCCCATTATAACACCAAAAAGTGGCACAAAAGCATTATGTGTATATCGTTTCACACGTTTTCAACGATACATGACAAGTATATCTGTTATGTACGATGATTTTATAGATCACATTTTCATGTAAAGCAGATTTTTTTTTCATGCTATGAAAATATTATAAGAAAAATGTATTATAAGTCAGCAATTTTAAAAGTACTGGTAAAGTGATGGTCATATTCTAGATATTCAAGCTTTAAAACGACACCTATGTTGTGTTGGTTAAGCAAGTGGTTGTTAAGTACACTGCAAAAAATGCTTTTCTCACTCAGTATTTTTGTCTTGTTTCCAGTCCAAATATCTAAAAATTCTTAAATAAAGATGCATTTACTAGATGAGTAAAATAAGATGTTGTATTTTCTGGGGAAATTAATCAAAATTAAGTGAGTTCATGCTTAAAAATAAAGCTAAATGATCTGCCAATGGGGTAAGAAAAATAATCTTAATTCAAACAGAAACAAAACATTATTTTCTGACCCCATTGGCAGATAATTTTGCTTGTTTTAAGCATCAACTCATTTTTCCCCCCATTAAACAAGACTTAATATCTTTTGTCATTTTACTACTTTAGTAAATGCATCTTGATTTAAGAAATGTTTGATATTTGGACTGGAAACAAGACCAAAATACTAAGTAAGAAAAGCATTTAAACTTAAACAACGATAGATTATGGGAATTGGGAATTTAAAGTCAATCCATAAAGTCAATACAGCTATACTTGTTCTGAACCAATCCCTTCAGATAGTCTTTAAAAGATCAGTTTACCGTCAGCGTCTTGATCATCTCAATGTTATGTTGAATATTTCAGGACCTGCAGATTCGTCTGTACTGACAGCCATTATTGAAGGAGCTCGTCTTAGAGAAGTACATGGATGATTGAGTCGATAAGCTACAGCGTGACACTGAAACACTCGCACAGTTATTGAGCCGTTCAGATCTCAGTGAGAAGTGCACATGTTTCCAGCTCTCACCGTTCACCAGCACCACGATGTCCCTGAAATCGATCTCTCCTCGGGCCTCCACGCGCGCCTCGCAGCGATACACACCCTCGTCGGCTTTGCTCACGCGCAGGATCTGCAGGTTGTTGGTGGGAAGGACTTGAAATCTGCCTTCAGGAAGAGAAAGAAACACAGACATCAAAACTAACCACTGCATTGTATGGTTGCGTGTGAGTGTGTGAGTGTTATTCACAAACAGTGAACTTATTGCATATAGGTTTAAATGTACAAGTTGTACGTGAATATATGGTCACCGTGATTTTGCCAAGTAAGACATGTTCCTGGATCAACATATTTTGTTGTTCCTGGATCAACATTCCTGTCCCAAAATGTAGTCCTTACCCAATCCCTACCCCTAAACCTAACCCATTACTTTTCCCTAAAATTATAAGGTAATGATAGGTGAATAACACTGATGTTTAAGTACTTCACCCTGGTTCTTCTAAGCCTAAACTTGACATAAACTGTAAACTTGTCACTCACATCTGATTGGTTGATTGGAAAGTTGTTCCAGGATCAACAAAGATGTTGATCCAGGATTATATGGTACTTGGTGAAATCACGTTCACCGTGAATATATAGGGTTAATAGACATTTGGAAAAGATTTTGGGGTAGACCTGACCTGTTAAAAAGAGATGGTGCCGCTCTTCTCTCTAGTAATATGGCACATGTTCTATATGTACTATAAGACCATAGTCTTAAGAGTTGAACCTTGACTAACTGTGGCCCAGGTCAGACTAAACCCCCCGTCTGCCAGCAGTCTCACGCCACCGAAGTCAGATAAATCCCAACACATAGAGACTCTTTCACCTAGGTAACACTTTACTTGAAGGGGTGTGCATAAGACTGACATGACACCTTCATAATCATGACATGACACATGTCATGAATATGAAGGAGGGTTTATGCATGTTTATGACAACTGTCATTAAGTGTCATTCGCTCAATTATGACATTTTTAATGCAAATATGACATTGTTTGAGATGTCTTTGTCATGACAACTTGACATTACTAAGACAACACAACCTGTCATAAATATGTTATAAACATGACATAGCAGATTAATTATCAAACTTAAGAAAGCACTTAGCTTTATGGGTTAACATTACATTAAACTGTCATGTGGTTGGTTTTGACATTGGCTGTCATGAGGCCATTATAACATTTTAATGACAAATTCAATGTGTACCACTGTAGTCGAGGTCAAGAAAAATATTCATGACAGTTATAATGCCTCATAACAGCCAATGTCAAAACCAACCACATGACAGTTTAATGTAATGTTAACCCATAAAGCTAAGTGCTTTCTTAAGTTTGATAATTAATCTGCTATGTCATGTTTATAACATATTTATGACAGGTTGTGTTGTCTTAGTAATGTCAAGTTGTCATGACAAAGACACTGACCGGTTATGATGTATTGTAATGGTTTATGTCAAGTTGTCATAACAAAGACATCTCAAACAATGTTATATTTGCATTCAAAATGTCATAATTGAGCGAATGACACTTAATGACAGTTGTCATAAACATGCATAAAATCTCCTTCATATTCATGGTTATGAAGGTGTCATGTCAGTCTTATGCACACCCCTTCAAGTAAAGTGTTACCAAATGTAATTGATGTTCAAAAAATAAAAAACATTTTAAAGCTTGCGTTGCTGAATATTCGATCCCTTTCTTTAAAAGCACTTATTGTTATTGATATAATTACAGATCATAACCTAGATGTGCTGTGTTTGACAGAAACCTGCTAAAACCAGACGAGTACATTACTTTAAATGAGTCCACCCCGCAAGATTACTGTTATAAATGAAATTTATAAGTAATGAACTTACTAAAGCTGGATGACACTACAGGTGAAACTCGAAAAATTAGAATATCGTGCAAAAGTTCATTTATTTCAGTAATTCAACTGAAAAAGGTGAAACTAATATATTATATAGACTCATTACATGCAAAGTGAGTTATTTCAAGCCTTTATTTGTTATAATTTTGATGATTATGGCTTACAGCTATGGAAACCCCAAATTCAAAATTAGAATATTGTGAAAAGGTTTTCATATCTGTAAGCCATAATCATCAACATTATAACAAATAAAGGCTTGAAATATCTCACTTTGCATGTAATGAGTCTATATAATATATTAGTTTCACCTTTTAAGTCGTATTTTCATCTAGATCTGCTGTACAGCCGAAACAAACGTTGTTGGATTATTTTCCTGTTATCTCTGTAAAGCTGCTTTGAAACAAACTGTATTGTATAAAGCGCTATAGAAATAAAGGTGCCTTGACTTATCTTTAAGCAACAGTAATAGTGATCCTGATACTCACGTTAGCAAATTGCACTAATAAAAAAATAAAAAAATAGTGTCTGTGCCTTTCAGACTTTACAGTTTTGGATTCTTAGGATTGATCACTAAACTAAAAACCAGACATAGGGTTTGTAAGAGAAATCATTCTGTTATGTTTAAAGCCTTTGACAGCAATATAGTCCTCTGTGCGGCGAAATGAAAAAAGCAGAGGATTTAATCAACAGACTTCTTTTTCATCGGAGCACAATAATAGGAAAATATTATCATCAATCCTCAAAACTACTTCTGCTTCCATTTCAAGGACATCTGCTATAAATGAAACACCTTCAGGATTACAGCCTTTCTTCTGCTTTTGCCATCCCTCGCTGATAAACACACACCTTTTCTCTTCTCATCCAGGAGAGACATTTACAACCGGCTCCCTAATTAGAATAAAAATAATCAAATCTCCATCTTTTAATCTTCCAGGCTGGAAAGTGCAAATAGCTTGTCAAAGTTCTGCCGTTGAATTTCAATTAAGGGTTTGACACCTAAAATGTAGATAGAAGTTTTTCTTCCGTCAGCAGAGAACTTTACTGGATCCAGACTCTGAACGTGCTTTATTGTTTTAGCATTTCAAACCCAACACACACCTTTTCTTAAAATGTTTAGATAGCAAAGTGTGTTTGTGCATCTTTCTTTACAATAAATGACTGTTCTCTTTATGTGTAAGTCACTTTGGATAAAAGCGTCTGCCAACTGATTAAACATAAATGACACTTGAGATATATTCTTATTCAAATTCTTTGTCAAATCAATTAATACAGGTTTGTAAAGATGTGTGTGTGTGTGTGTGTATTTATGTAGAGTGTATATATATATATATATACACACACATATTATATATTTACAAACTTGTATGTAAGATGTGATTAATCAAATCGATTATAACATCTAGCATACAAGTTTGTAAATATGTGTGTGTGTTTATTTATGTACAGTGTGTATACACACACACACACACACACACACGACCACATCTAACATAAAAGTATGTAAATATATAATATGTGTGTGTGTGTGTGTGTATATATATACACTACATTAAATACACACACACACACACACACATATTATATATTTACAAACTTGTATGTTAGATGCGATTAATCAAATCGATTATCACATCTAGCATACAAGTTTGTAAATATGTGTGTGTGTGTGTATTTATGTACTGTGTGTATACACACACACACACACACGACCACATCTAACATAAAAGTATGTAAATATATAATATAATATGTGTGTGTGTGTGTGTGTATATATATATATATATACACTGTACATTAAATACACACACACACACACACACATATTATATATTTACAAACTTGTATATTAGATGTGGTCGTGTGTGTGTGTGTGTGTGTGTGTATACACAATGTACATAAATACACACACACACACACACACACACATTTTATATATTTACAAACTTGTATGTTAGATGCGATTAATCAAATCGATTATCACATCTATCATACAAGTTTGTAAATGTGTGTGTGTGTGTGTATTTCTGTACAGTGTGTATACACACACACACACACACACACACACACACACGACCACATCTAACATAAAAGTTTGTTAATATATAATATATGTGTGTGTGTGTATATATATATAAATATATACACTGTACATAAATACACACATATTATATATTTACAAACTTTTATGTTAGATTAATCAAATGGAGTAATCGCAATTAATCATATCTAACATAAAAGTTTGTATATATATATATATATATATATACATATATATGGGTGTGTATACACACACACACACACACACACACACACACACACACACACACACACACACACACACACACACACACACACACACACACACACACACACATATATTATATATTTACAATAAGAAGTTGTACATTTTATTTTCAGGTCTATGCTCCAAAAGAGATTAACAGGTAATAAGAGGATCATAACTATTACATAAATGTAAGTTATTACCATAAAATCCCCTAAAAATATTTCCTAAATCCTTTCATTGAAATGAAAATATCAGCGGGTTACATGAAGCGCCTCGGTTCTTACTGTTGTGTTCGGACGTGATTTCTCTGTTCTTGTAGAACCAGGACACGGCTGGCACAGGCGAACTGATGACATCACAGATGACCTCGGCGACCTCGGCCTGACGAAACTCCTGCGGCGTCTTCACCTCGCGAAACGTCAACTTCTCTGTGAACACACACACACACACACAACAGGAATCTCACACGTGCCTCAACCGGACACACACCGGCTCGGGAAAACAAATCCTGCAAATTAAAAAGTCACATATCTAAACGTATTTGATTTTGTCGTCTGTCACTTTAAATGCTCAAGCTTTTTTAAAGCAGGATGGATTCTGATTGGCTATTGGCTGGTTTTATCATTCATCAGCTGGATTTTTTTTTTTTTTTTTTTTTGAAAGTGATTCCTTTTGGCAGAGGTTGCGAGCATGTTTAAACTAAAGGATTTATACTTTTATTAATTTGATTCGCTATTCCACATAGATCATGCCAGCTAGTTCCTGACCTGATTCAGACTAATAAACACATAGCTGGAGCGGATTGATATTGCCTTGATCTGGAGCGAGGTTTACGAGAGGTAATGTGAACACAAGTAGGGCATCCTGAAATCTGTCCCAATCACACATGCCAACCCTCCCGATTTTTCCGGGAGACTCCCGAATTTCAAAGCCCCTCCCGAAAATCTCCCGGACCGACCTTTCTCCCGAATTTCTCCCGATTTCCACCCGGACAACAATATTGCTAACGTAGACTCACTGTATTCCGGACACTTTGCACAGTAAAACGTCCCGTAAGATATCAATCCGCGGAAAGATAAACCTGATTGGCTCGTCTGTCTCTGGGGACATGCCTTCCACACGTTCCAAAGTTTGATTGACACATTTTGGACAAATCATTTTGGAGAAATCTTGAAAAAACTGACGGGAGACACGCAATGTCCGGATTACCGTGAGGACTCACGGTGTTCCGGACGGCTGAAAATTTCTACTCACTGTGTTTCGGACAGTTAAGGAGGAGTTATTTCTAATATAAAACGCATACATTTTAACAACTATAAGTTGGTGAAATAATCATATTAATCTTCATAACTTTGTTGTATAAGCGTCTATATACACACTATTTTAATCGACGATTGCTCATGCGAGCATCCTATTCGGTAACACTTTATTTTAAGGTGCTTGTAATAAGCAGTAATTAACAGTTAATAAGACACTTATAAGACCTTATAAGATGCATATAAGACGCATATAAGCATTAACTAATGATAATAAATAAATAAAATTAAATAATAAATTTCTCAAGTATCAATACATTGCACTTTTAGAACAGCCGAACAAACATAAATGGTAACACAAACTCCCAGTCCCTTAAAAATTGACCTTCCCAAGAGGGAGTATAGTTTCCCTGATCTCTTCAGGGCCTGGACCTTTAATTAACGCTTATATGAAGTAGTTAATGCTTATATGCATCTTATAAGGTCTTATAAGTGTCTTATTAACTGTTAATTACTGCTTATTACAAGCACCTTAAAATAAAGTGTTACCTTATATTCTAACGTTAACGTTAACTCTCAATTAGAGTGCGCTGCAGTTCCAGTTTTCACCACAGATTAACATGGGAAAACTGTGGGGCGCTGTAGAGCCGAGGAGCATCATTACATAAAACGAATACGCCACCGTTTTTTTAAATAGGGGAGATTCAACATCTCCCCTACATTTAGATTGGTGGGCAAACTCATTTTTGTCTCGGTGTGTGCATTGTCTTAGTTTGGCAGCGCCGCCGCTAGCTTAGCTTAGCATAACGAATGGAATCCTTTGTTGCCGGATAGCATGTCGTGAGTAAAAGAGATCCAAAAAAAAAAAAAAACTAATGACTTCTTGTGGCCTGCGTATTCACAACGAGTACAAATACCAATGCAGATTAAGACTATAGGCGATTTCCTAGGCAGATATTGACCTGGGACAATATTGGGGTGAAGCACATGCGAAGCACTGCTACTTGTGCGCAGAGATATCAAAGATATTCGGTGCCGGTCACGCCGGTATGTTGATGGAAGTTGGGGGATTTCAGGTGTTGCGGGATGTCTCTGCGCCCAAGTAGCAGTGCTTCGCCTGTGCTTCACCCCAATGTCGTTTTTTTTAGGATCACTTTTAGTCAAGACATGCTATCCGGCAACAAAGGATTCCATTCATTATGCTAAGCTAAGCTAGCGGCGGCGCTGCCAAACTAAGACAATGCACGCACTGAGACAAAAATGAGTTTGCCCAGCTATCTAAATGTAGGGGAGATGTTGAATAACCCCTATTTCAAAAAACAGTGGCGTGTTCCTTTAACGTAATGATGCTCCTCGGCTCTACAGCGCCCCCCAGTTTCCCCATGTTAATCTGTGGTGAAAACTGGAACTGCAGCGCACTCTAATTAAGAGCCATTGGGACAGATTTCAGGATGCCTGCTGACTTTACAACTAATAAAAGTAGTCTAAAAAATATTTGTTAAATAACATTTACAGGCAAGCCGCGGCTGGTGACCGCATTCATTCTCTCAGTTATTCCTAAAGTGTACTTGAAAATAGACATAATCTCTCTCGCTGTAGGCTGAAATAATTTTTGAATCTCTGAATCTTTGAATCTATTCTGAATCTCATAATTTGTCTGGAGCTGTGAGGTCAGGGCAGAGCGGTGCAACTATTACACAGATTTTTCCAGCGTTTGCCCTCATTGACCGACTGAAAACACTGAAGATCTGGCTTCATTTCAGCGCGAGGACACAGTGGAGGATACGATCCAAACAGACTGAAGGTCATCTGACAAAACACACTCAATCTTTTCACTTCTGAGAAGCGGAAAGCGTCTTATTGATGAAAGTAGATTTAATAAAAAACTAAATGTGTTAAGAGTGATTTGCTTTTTATTTTCTGTGTGTTTTTGTGTATCGACCTAATGTACCAGTTCAGCCTGAATGACATCATCACTGAGTGAGTTTGTGAAGTTCAGTCTCTCATCTCAACTTCTCGTGATCATCTAGTGTTCTCATGAATAATGTTCTTCATGGAGCGTTTTTTTTTCTTCTGAAATGATTTAGTTGGATATTTTTTTAAATATAACAACCTGTTTTAGATCGTTCAGAGAACATTCATAACTAACGTTCCCATAATGTTTAGGATGATATAATGAAATGTTTCCTTACCAAGTTTGCATAACCAAAAAAATGGTTACACTTTATTTTAAGGTGTCATTGTTACAATGTTATACATTTAAGTACTGAGTAATATTAATTAACTACATGTACTTACTATAAGATTAGGATTTGGTTGATGGTTAGATGCATGTAATTATGCATAATTTACTGTGTAATTTACTATGGTAACTACATGTAACATATGTAACTAGGACACTGTAAAATAAAGTGTTACCTAATTAAAAAAAAAAAAAAAAATTATTTTCTGAGAACATTTAGAAATAATGTTTCCATAACATAATGGGAACATTAGCAAAACATTCTTTGAACATATTTTGTTAGTTAGGAGTGTTTGCTCTTTATATATTTAAGTATAACACTTGATTAAAGTAACTATATGTGACCCTGGATCACTAAACCAGTCACGAGTCGCACGGGTATATTTGTAAACAATACATTGTATGGGTCAAAAATATAGACTTTTCTTTTATGCCAAAAATCATTAGGATATTAAGTAAAGATCATGTTATATGAGGATATTTTGTACATTTCCTACCGTAAATATATAAAACATTTATTTTTGTGAGTGAATACTGCACAATCGCGAACATAAATGCACAACTTTGAAGGCGATTTTCTCAATGTTTCGATTTTTTTGCACCCTCAGATTCCAGATTTTCTAATAGTTGTATCTCGGCCAAATATTGTATATCCTAACAAACCATACATCAATGGGAAGCTTATTTAATCAGCTTATATGATTTATAAATCTCAATTTAAAATAAATTGACCCATGTGACTATAGTTTTGTTGTCCAGGGCATAGATATCCATAATAAAGGCTAGATGTCTTAGAGTCTCTATCTTCATCACCGGCGGCCATCTTGTCACAGGCAAGGCTCTGTGGTGCCTGATGTAAGATGAGTGATCGGCACGAACACTAATACTCTTATCTCGTTGAAATCTTGACGGATTTACAAACGGTTTGGTTTCTCACAAACGTTATTAACGTGGCTATAATTCTGGATGATTGTTTATTTATACACTTATTATTCATAAGTATACAGTGTCATAACTACATCTCTGACGTTTATAACAAACCAAACCGTTTGAAAATCAGTAGACAATTGAGCAAGTTATGGTTATTTAAAAAGTACATGCACCATTAAAACACAATGTTACGAGTGAGCGAGCTGCCTGTGGCAAGATGGCCGCCAGTGCGGACGTCGACCTGCATTGGCCAGCAGCGCGGACGAGACATCTAGCCTTTATTATGGATATCTATGGTCCAGGGTCACATATGTAGAATTGAGAAACCCGTGTTATTAGCGACACCGCTGGCCGTTAAGTGAACTGCAGCAGCTCACAGTAACACACAAGACACTGAACGTGATTCAAGGCATCGATACACTCACAGAGAAGCTCTTTCTCGTTCTTTGATTAAAGGTAAAAAGAAGTTAGAAACACCTTTGCAGAGATATACTGTTGGCGAACATCCAGACGCTGCCGAGAGTGACGTTTAGATGAATATGTGAATATGTGCTCAGTGCTGTGCTTTTCTCTCAATAACAAAATAAACATCAAAAATGCCAGCGGTGAGAAAACAGCCGTTCAGAAAGCATCCGGTCGTAGTGATGTGGATGTGTTTACATCAGCTCTGCGATTCACCGTCAACACATGAGCTCATTAATATGTCACTGTTCTGATAGTAAAGTATATTTGAGACTATATACTATATAGATCTCCCTATAGTTTGAATGAAACCCTTTTCTTTGGATAACACATTAACACAGTAAAGAATAACTCTTTAAGAATTATCCTGATCATAAGCTTTCGTTTCATGCGTCATGGGAGCGAAACCATCGCATCCTTTTGTTTTTCCCGGCAAAACCATCCAGACTCCTTTACATAAAAATATGTTTTCAGGCTTTCATGGACAACCTAGGAAATCAGGGAAGGTCTTGTTTTTATTTTATTTTTTTGTTTTGTTACAAACTGTTCACACATTGTCAATAAAAAGCGACTAATAAATTCAAATTCTGCCCTTTTAAAACTAAACTTTGAAGATTTAAAGATGACTTTTAAAGGTTTGATGTCATTAGCCTGCACAGTTTTGGCAGATCCAGAGACTGGTTATTCCCCCCATTTCAAGCGCTCATTTCATCAGTCTTGTACTGTACTAGTGCAACGTGAGTCCTGGAAGCTAAAAGCTTAAAATGTTAATTTTTTTGCAATAATCATTGAGAAAGTCAGCACACACACACTGTGAATGAGTCAGAGAATGACTACTTTCGCCTCAACATGCAAGTACTGCTAATGCTATTCTGTCTTAAATTAATTCTTAAATGATAATTTGCCATCTCTTAACAATCTGACGACGTTTAACCTCACAGGTCTCGGCCGGTTTCCTCCATCGCAGAAGAACTCCTGCTTTGAAGAAGAGAAAAGGTGTGTGTGTGTGTGTTGTGGCGGATCAGAGACTATCACACTGTTTCTTTCAGAGCGCCGTGTCAGTGTGTCAAGCTTCATTTAAATTCAGTGCTAATTTGCCTCTATAGTATAAATAAAATCTGGATATAACTTGCTTGCAGGGAGGCGAGGACGCTCGACACCACAGCATTCATGGAAGATGTTGGTAACACTTTACAATAAGGTTCGTTATTAAAATCAAAGGTTGTATTCATTAACATTAGTTAATGTGAACTTAAATGAACAAACAATAAACAGCTGTATTTTTATTAACTAACATTTACAAAGATTAATAAACACTGATAATTGTATTGCTCATTGTTAGGTCATGTTAGTTAACACATTAACTAATGTTAACTAATGAACCTAAAGTGTAAAGTGTTACCAAGATATTATATGTACCAAGATATTACATTTTTACATCCAATAAAAATCCCATCAGGATTCCTGTTACTATTCCTCCATGACGATCTTGACTAAGAGGCCAAATTTACTAAACGGCAAATTAGCGTGAGAGCGCCGATAGGAGTGGAAAGTTTTGCGCGAGATCTTTAATTTTGGGCAAATTAAAGAACAGACTCAGTCAGATCATTTCCATAATGACCAACACAATCTACCAGGAAGTGTTGGCCGGTAAATAATTGCGCAAACACCAGAACATTGACGAGCGCAAACCTTAGTAAATCCCCCTGTGTAATTCTTTTAAATATTATCCTCCCATAAATGTTGTGCATGGAAAGGGAAACTCCTATTATTATTCCTGATGAGCTCAGACTGAAACTAATCACTTCAAATCATAAGGTTGCCCTACAAATAAAGCTTATCCGTTAGTTTGACTCAATGAGCTATCGGTTTTCTTTTATGTTTTTTTTTTAAAATAATATGAGTGACACTTGCTAGGCTATTTTAACGTGACATGTTATAACAAGAATATCTTGTTTTCTTGTTTCTTTTCCTCGTGATTATTTTCTTTTTTCCTTTTGCATTCACTGTAATAGTGTGAAAAGGGTCAGCATATATAGGCTACGGCACATTTGTGGTCTGTTCTCCCGATTTAATTTCTGATATGCCATTAATAATTCATTGGAATGCACAAAGAATCTATTTTTTCCCTCTCTTTCCAGGTTTGTTTTCACGTGTAAATACAATTTATTATCTGTCAAAATGACTGAAATCACTTTGAAATTGTATCACACAATGCTGAAGTATAATTTTTTTTTTTTTAAGGCAACGTATGTTACATAATACAGAAAGATCCACGCTTTTGGGGTTATTCATGGTCTGTTGAAAGTGCCTTGTTGATGCTTTAAATGTCCTTTTAATGTTCAATGGTTGAAGGGTGAGTCGAATAATGTCACAGTTAAAAAATTTATATTATTGCGTCCTAGTCTTTCACTGATTGTTTACAGCTTAACGGAAGTTACACCCATAATTCGCGCAAAGCGTCATGTGTAGGAATAATGTGGATAAAAGCATATGCAATAAGATCAGCCGCACACAAAACCGTGTCTACACCTTTTCAGCGCAGATTTATCACAGCGGCGGCAATCACGCGAGCTTTCGCGCTAAACACAGAGACACAGCTTTCAATGTTGCAGGAAACTATAGTTTCAGATAGAGAAATGACAGAAATGTGTGTGCAACTGATTTGTTGAAAAGCAGAGAACAGTAGCCATTCCTTTCAACATAAACAGAGAGAGAGAGAGAGAGAGAGAGAGAGAGAGAGAGAGAGAGAGAGAGAGAGAGAGAGAGAGAGAGAGGTGTGTGTGTGTGTGTGTGCAATGCTATCTCACAACCAATTTGTACGAATTCGTACCAGTGATTAAAATGTGGCTAATTCTTATGAATCGTACAACCTCACTCGTATGAATTTGTACATTTGTCTAAACCCAGTTGATGGGTTGGTTTAGGGGCGGGGTCAGGGGTAGGTTTAGGGGCGGGGTCAGGGGTAGGTTTAGAGGCGGTGTCAGGGGTAGGTTTAGGGGCGGGGTCAGGGATAGGTTTAGAGGCGGGGTCAGGGATATGTTTAGAGGCGGTGTCAGGGGTAGGTTTAGAGGCGGTGTCAGGGGTAGGTTTAGGGGCGGGGTCAGGGATAGGTTTAGAGGCGGGGTCAGGCGTAGGTTTAGGGGCGGGGTCAGGGATAGGATTAGAGGCGGGGTCAGGGATATGTTTAGAGGCGGTGTCAGGGGTAGGTTTAGGGGCGGGGTCAGGGGTAGGTTTAGGGGCGGGGTCAGGGATAGGTTTAGAGGCGGGGTCAGGCGTAGGTTTAGAGGCGGGGTCAGGGGTAGGTTTAGAGGCGGTGTCAGGGGTAGGTTTAGGGGCGGGGTCAGGGATAGGTTTAGAGGCGGGGTCAGGCGTAGGTTTAGGGGCGGGGTCAGGGATAGGATTAGAGGCGGGGTCAGGGATATGTTTAGAGGCGGTGTCAGGGGTAGGTTTAGGGGCGGGGTCAGGGGTAGGTTTAGGGGCGGGGTCAGGGATAGGTTTAGAGGCGGGGTCAGGGATATGTTTAGAGGCGGTGTCAGGGGTAGGTTTAGGGGCAGGGTCAGGGATAGGTTTAGAGGCGGGTCAGGTGTAGGTTTAGGGGCGGGGTCAGGGATAGGTTTAGAGGCGGGGTCAGGGGTAGGTTTAGAGGCGGGGTCAGGTGTAGGTTTAGGGGCGGGGTCAGGGATAGGTTTAGAGGCGGGGTCAGGGGTAGGTTTAGGGGCGGGGTCAGGTGTAGGTTTAGAGGCGGGGTCAGGGGTAGGTTTAGAGGCGGGGTCAGGGATAGGTTTAGAGGCGGGGTCAGGGGTAGGTTTAGGGGCGGGGTCAGGTGTAGGTTTAGAGGCGGGGTCAGGGGTAGGTTTAGAGGCGGGGTCAGGGATAGGTTTAGAGGCGGGGTCAGGTGTAGGTTTAGAGGCGGGGTCAGGGGTAGGTTTAGAGGCGGGTCAGGGATAGGTTTAGAGGCGGGGTCAGGGGTAGGTTTAGGGGCGGGGTCAGGGATAGGTTTAGAGGCGGGGTCAGGGGTAGGTTTAGGGGCGGGGTCAGGGGTAGGTTTAGAGGCGGGGTCAGGGGTAGGTTTAGGGGCGGGGTCAGGGGTAGGTTTAGGGGCGGGGTCAGGGGTAGGTTATTCGTACGAATTCATACGAATTTGGTAACTCGTAAAATATGTACGAATTAGCAAAAATCGTACAAATTTGTACGATTGAGGTCGTATGAATTCATACGAATTAGTCACCTCGTAAAATTCATACAAATTGCCGTGAGATCGGGTTGGTGTGTGTGTGTGTCAGTGTATGGTTGCCACTGAGCTGTAGCCCCATCGATCTAGCCTGTGATGTGGTTGTGTATGATTTGGCAATATGGGACAGCCTAGCCTAGAAATCTAGATGCACCCTAGCGGCAGCAAACATTATTTTGCAGCCAGTGTGGTATAGCAACTCTCCGTTGGCTTTCGAAGTGGAAAAACCAAACTCTGGTCAGGCCAATCACATCGTGTATAGAGTTGGTGGGCGGGCTTAACACAATGACGGCAGAGTTGTGACGGTTCTGCGCCGTGATTTCCATAGGTGATTTCCCTGATACTTGAAAACAAACAAGATGCTGCTGGCGAACGGCTTTGGCTGCGACTCTGGAGGACTTGGAGTTAAGAGAACGTCACTTAAGTAATTCTTAAAACAGGAAGATGTGTTCGGAGTTTTGACGACCGGATACGGCAAAAGATTAATATATCTACTAGCTCCGCTGGTGGGAAAACGCATGGGACTCACTCAGCCACAGCCGTTCATTGCTCTGGTTGGTTGTAGCGCTATCCTATTGCGTGCCGAGGGATATTGAAAGACAACCGTTTATCCCGCCCCTCGGATTGAGGTATGCCAATTGGGAGTTCCCAGACCTAACATCTTGATGTAGGTCTGGCTTGCCAGGCTAGGGACAGCCTATACGCTGGTGAAAATCGGGCCGACTCCCTGAATTATTTTAACATGTTTAAAAATGATCGGGAGGTGCTCGGCTCGTAATTCCTCTCAGACGCTGCGACCATGCGATCATCTGTGAGCATTAACTGACTGACTACAGACGCTCATGACCTGCACAGGTTTGGCGTGGGGACTCACGGTAAATCTCCAGCACCACCGTGGCCTCCTGACTCTGTGCTTTGGCGTCCACAGCCTGGCATCGGTATATCCCAGCGTCCTCGATGATGGCGTTGTAGATGGTCAGCCTGGACCGCACACCCTCCGTGTGGACGATCACTCTCTGGTTTGAGACGATGCGCTCGCCTTGAGGACTGAACCAGTTTATGCTGACCGGCTCACCGATGGCTGAACAAAACACAAAACCAACACACAGATTAGGGGATTTATGATATTCTTCATGTTTGGTGCGGTGGTTAGTTCACAGCAGTGTCAGAAATGATCTTTTCCAATAAGTTTAATTTGAATTTTACCTTTTTATGGGGATTTTTACCTTTATAAAGCCATTTTTTTTTACCTATGCATGTCAAATTCTTATCAATAAATTCAATTATAATAAGACACAATAGGGCGGTTACCAAATTAAATGAAATCAGTATCAACACATGCAATGCAGAGGAAACACAGAAGCTGCAACTGAAGTGGATTTAGATGTATTTACACTGTTAATGCGAACCAGAGGGACATGAATGCATTTAACCAGCAGATACAAATGCATAATGTCTTGATGTTTTAAACATAAAACGTTGAATATGCAACACTCTGTGTGTTTTTGCTTAATTTCAGATCGCACATCGTCAAAACAACAATCACAATATTATCGTGGACGATATATATCACACGCACACCCCTAACCGAGATGTAGTACAGTGTTTGCATCAGTCTTCATTAATGCAGTTAAAACCTTGTTTATAATATCTCAGAGTTGTTCACATGCAGTCGTGTCGCTTGGTTTACACTCGCTGTGAGTTGCGACAGCTCTTTATCTCTGACTTGAATGCGGGGACACATGGAGAACCAGCGAGTGCCATATGAAACTCCAGGTGCTCTCGTGTGTAAAGCGGCTCAGCTAAAGGTCATGAAGCAGATATTTCAGAAGAGCCTGAACCCTCGAGGCTCCCCGTGTCACGGATGAGGAACGCGAAATGGTTGTTAGCAGGTTCGAGGGTGATGGTGTTAGAAAGATGAGAGTTGATGAACAGAACAGGCGAGAGGTTCAGTCTGAGGACTTGAGGTGATGTTTGAGTTATTTGCTTCTACGATGCATCACTAGATCTGCATTGTGCATGAATTTTTACACATCTCCTGCTCTTTGTATGTTTATTTATTTATTTAATTTGAGCTCTTTTAATCATGTTTTTCAGAGACCAAAAAGAATGCAGAATACTCAGGTCTGTTTAAAGGAACAATTCACCAAAAAATGTGACTCACCCACATGTTCTTTCAAACCCAAATTACGTTATTTTTGTATTTTTTTTTACATGGAATGCAACAGATTTTGAAATCATACCATCATAATTCTTGTAGCTCAAATAGTACAGCATGACACTACACTATAAATAAATTATCATACTTCTAATGGTAAAAAAACTGTAAATGTGCTATTTTAACAGCAAGTTTAACTAAATCTAACAAGACTTTTAATGCCGTTTTAAAGTAAAACACTAAAATTTACAGTTTTTTATATCAGTCATGCACATCAGGGTTTTATGATACATCTTGTTGTTGTTAAATGAATGTTAATTGCATCATCTTATTGTCAAGTGTTACTATGATTTGTTGTGTTTATGACACTGCGACTCTATATATATTAGTATTTCCCTCAGCTTGTGGAAAAGCTACTTATTTATCTTTCTCTTTATAGTAAAGTTCTGTTAACCACGGCTGTCATGTTTTACTATAAATTTCAAAGATTAATTTTACAGTGTAGCATCACCAAGGTCATGGGTTCGATTCAGAGAATGCATGAACTGATCAAAAGCATATCTTGAATACCAAATGTGTACATTTAAGCTCCAGAAATGACCAAAAGAAAACATAAAAGTATCATAAAATTTGTCCATATTCCAATTATTTTGAAATTAGTAACAGGTTTGTGTGAAGAACAGTCACAGATATAATTTGCCATTAGATAATAATCTTCTCACACTAGCACATTTCTGGCGACGATAATGCTTGGTGTTATTAACAAATCTATTCACTTCAGAAGAAGTCATTCGTGCTGGTGTTATGCTGCTATAGACATAATTTTATGGTGTTTTTTTTTTTTTTTAGCTTGACAGCCTCTGATCACAGTCACAACTTTTCTCAAATCACATTTATTTCTAATGCACAGTTTCAGAAGTGATGCACGGTAATATCAACCAAATCAGAAAAACTTGAGATGGCATAAAAGTCTATGTGTGTCCGAGCATCACACAAGAAACTGTACTTGTAACCTTAGATAACCCCGAACTGTGTAGCTGAGTGAAATATCAGCGTGCTGAAGTGCCTCGTGTGCTTAGAAAATGATTTATTATATTTGTATATGTCCCCGCGGGGCAAGCGGCCGCTCGTAACGCTCCTCACCAGCGGCTCGGATCAATTTATTCCAGGTTGCTCATTGATAGATCTCCATTGAGACGCTCGCTGTTCAATTCACACAAGCTAATGCATTCAGGGGCGGCTGGCGTATGAACGACGGAGAGAAATCTATATGTTGTCATGGCAACACCACATCGTCCGTGTGGGATTTAATCGGGCAATGAAAAAGTTAATCACTCCGCTGTCGTTCTGCGTTCAACAGGTGAAGACAACAGGTGAAGACAACAGGTGAAGTCAACAGGTGAAGACAACAGGTGAAGACAACAGGTGAAGACAACAGGTGAAGACAACAAGTGAAGGTGAAGTCAACAGGTGAAGACAACAGGTGAAGGTGAAGTCAACAGGTGAAGTCAACAGGTGAAGGTGAAGTCAACAGGTGAAGACAACAGGTGAAGGTGAAGTCAACAGGTGAAGTCAACAGGTGAAGACAACAGGTGAAGTCAACAGGTGAAAACAACAGGTGAAGACAACAGGTGAAGACAACAGGAGAAGACAACAAGTGAAGGTGAAGTCAACAGGTGAAGTCAACAGGTGAAGACAACAGGAGAAGACAACAGGTGAAGGTGAAGTCAACAGGTGAAGTCAACAGGTGAAGACAACAGGTGAAGTCAACAGGTGAAGACAACAGGTGAAGTCAACAGGTGAAGTCAACAGGTGAAGACAACAGGTGAAGACAACAGGTGAAGGTGAAGTCAACAGGTGAAGTCAACAGGTGAAGGTGAAGTCAACAGGTGAAGACAACAGGTGAAGGTGAAGTCAACAGGTGAAGACAACAGGTGAAGGTGAAGTCAACAGGTGAAGTCAACAGGTGAAAACAACAGGTGAAGTCAACAGGTGAAGACAACAGGTGAAGACAACAAGTGAAGGTGAAGTCAACAGGTGAAGACAACAGGTGAAGACAACAGGTGAAGGTGAAGTCAACAGGTGAAGTCAACAGGTGAAGGTGAAGTCAACAGGTGAAGACAACAGGTGAAGGTGAAGTCAACAGGTGAAGTCAACAGGTGAAGGTGAAGACAACAGGTGAAGACAACAGGTGAAAACAACAGGTGAAGACAACAGGTGAAGACAACAAGTGAAGGTGAAGTCAACAGGTGAAGACAACAGGTGAAGGTGAAGTCAACAGGTGAAGTCAACAGGTGAAGGTGAAGTCAACAGGTGAAGACAACAGGTGAAGGTGAAGTCAACAGGTGAAGTCAACAGGTGAAGGTGAAGACAACAGGTGAAGACAACAGGTGAAAACAACAGGTGAAGGTGAAGACAACAGGTGAAGACAACAGGTGAAGACAACAGGTGAAGTCAACAGGTGAAGACAACAGGTGAAGGTGAAGTCAACAGGTGAAGTCAACAGGTGAAGGTGAAGACAACAGGTGAAGACAACAGGTGAAGGTGAAGACAACAGGTGAAGTCAACAGGTGAAGTTAACAAGTGAAGGTGAAGTCAACAGGTGAAGACAACAGGTGAAGGTGAAGACAACAGGTGAAGACAACAGGTGAAGGTGAAGTCAACAGGTGAAGACAACAGGTGAAGTCAACAGGTGAAGTCAACAAGTGAAGGTGAAGTCAACAGGTGAAGACAACAGGTGAAGGTGAAGTCAACAGGTGAAGGTGAAGTCGACAGGTGAAGACAACAGGTGAAGGTGAAGACAACAGGTGAAGACAACAGGTGAAGGTGAAGTCAACAGGTGAAGACAACAGGTGAAGGTGAAGTCAACAGGTGAATGTGAAGTCAACAGGTGAAGGTGAAGTCGACAGGTGAAGACAACAGGTGAAGGTGAAGACAACAGGTGAAGACAACAGGTGAAGGTGAAGTCAACAGGTGAAGACAACAGGTGAAGTCAACAGGTGAAGTCAACAGGTGAAGTCAACAGGTGAAGACAACAGGTGAAGTCAACAGGTGAAGGTGAAGTCGACAGGTGAAGACAACAGGTGAAGGTGAAGACAACAGGTGAAGACAACAGGTGAAGGTGAAGTCAACAGGTGAAGACAACAGGTGAAGGTGAAGTCAACAGGTGAATGTGAAGTCAACAGGTGAAGGTGAAGTCGACAGGTGAAGACAACAGGTGAAGGTGAAGTCAACAGGTGAAGGTGAAGACAACAGGTGAAGTCAACAGGTGAAGGTGAAGTCAACAGGTGAATGTGAAGTCAACAGGTGAATGTGAAGTCAACAGGTGAAGGTGAAGTCGACAGGTGAAGACAACAGGTGAAGGTGAAGTCAACAGGTGAAGTCAACAGGTGAAGGTGAAGACAACAGGTGAAGACAACAGGTGAAGACAACAGGTGAAGGTGAAGACAACAGGTGAAGTCAACAGGTGAAGTCAACAAGTGAAGGTGAAGTCAACAGGTGAAGACAACAGGTGAAGGTGAAGTCAACAGGTGAAGGTGAAGTCGACAGGTGAAGACAACAGGTGAAGGTGAAGACAACAGGTGAAGACAACAGGTGAAGGTGAAGTCAACAGGTGAAGACAACAGGTGAAGTCAACAGGTGAAGTCAACAAGTGAAGTCAACAAGTGAAGACAACAGGTGAAGGTGAAGTCAACAGGTGAAGGTGAAGTCGACAGGTGAAGACAACAGGTGAAGGTGAAGACAACAGGTGAAGACAACAGGTGAAGGTGAAGTCAACAGGTGAAGACAACAGGTGAAGGTGAAGTTAACAGGTGAATGTGAAGTCAACAGGTGAAGGTGAAGTCGACAGGTGAAGACAACAAGTGAAGGTGAAGTCAACAGGTGAAGGTGAAGACAACAGGTGAAGTCAACAGGTGAAGGTG